ACAAATTAATTTTCGCAGCCACTCCTTGCCCCGATAAAACCAACTCCAGCCCCGAAATTTGCTCCAAAATCGACTCGCGAGGAGCTAAACACGCCCAACAACAACATACAGCACTCCGACCGTAGCCGCGCATAAAGTCCGAAGCACTTATCCCTCGTGCAAAACCACGGGGCAAACAAGTCAAAAGAAAAACCCTCCGCAACTCACCCTCGTGCCCCACATCCAACGAAAAACCTGCGAAGCGCGCGTGATTCGATTTTCCCGGAAGCCACGCGTTGGAGTAACGAGAGAGAGAGCGCACAGACGCCAGACCGTCGCCACGGAACGACGGTCGAGTATACGATACTTTGGGGCTGAGCCCCACGTCCCCCCTATTTTTAACTTTATTTGTGAGCGTGTATCCCTCTCTCGTTGGAGTTATTTGGTTTTGTACATGGCTCGCAGAAGATTGCCACCGGAGAGTAGTTGAGCAGTAGGGAAATAAAGCGTAGGATACAGTGAAATTTTTCATGTTGGTGGTTGGTTTTGGCGACTGTGACTGATGATTTTTTAGAAAGATCCAAAAACCATGGCAAAACCGAGGATAACTTTGTGCTTCCACTGCAACTTTAGCACTAGAAAAAAACGAGCCCCTCGAACGACCCCCCACTCGTATCTCTCTGACCGTGTCTTCTACCCTGGCTCTTATCCCACAATACCCTAGGCAGTTCCACGTCCCAAAGACGAAGACTGTCTTGGGGAGACCAAATAGCAGGAATATATAGGAGAGGACTAGCCTCGGGCATCCCGAGCCAGCGTCTTAAGGATGAAAAGGGTAATGGCGCGCGAACCGGCTCAAATGACCCGCGAATTTCTCTCCTCGCTGCGTGCTGGGCTCGCCATGTTTATGTTTAGCGCTTGGCCCACGAGAGTTACAATGGCGCTTGCGCGTGCGCGCCTTATACTCGACCTCGTTCTCTTGTTTGCGAGAAAATTATCCTGCACTTTATGCTAATTCAAGGGATGGGGTTATTTTGTCGATTTTCTTGATTTAACACTTTTAGCCTTGAGTACGGTGTTTTTTGTGTGGAGTTTTATAGGTGATTGAGAGGATTTTTTGGCTGCTAGTGGTACTTTTTTTAAAGCTCACATAGTTGGGGGCATTATGTGAAATTTGTACGAATATTCCTTTTTTAACAGTTTCTATTTTCCTCTTTTTTAAATAACATTCCACGTTAAATTTTAAAATCTATATAGGTGGAGTTGAAGCAAAGCTTGTATAGAAAACAATACTTATTATTTTAAAAAGAAGTTCTGGCAAATAAGAATGGGTCATTTTTATCTCCAATATACAATTTTTATTTTGACAAATTGTTTCAAAAGTTTGTTTGATACAATATTGCATATATAAAGTTGTATTATTTAATTTTCTTCACAGGGACCATCTTTCACTTTTCTCAAATCTGAAACTAAACATATTCGTCATGTTAAATAATGATTACACAGTAATTTTTTGCGTAGGCATCGCTTATATTTGTAGTTACCGAATTGTTGTCGAAAAAATCTACGTAAAAATGAAAAGTTAAAACTTACTACGACCTTTCAGGCACCTCTTTGCACATTCAAATGTGCCGGGGGATGGGTATGTCTTTCCATTGCTAGCGCAAAGTGGCATGTATTCCATAGTTGCTACACAAGGACAGTCCTCCTCCATATCAACATCCTCATGATGTTTCTTATGATTATTAGCTAAGGCGACGTTGAAAAGCAGCACTGAAACAATAAATTTGGGAGTGGTCTTAACGGAGGATTCAAAAAGATTTTAAAAAGATCAAGTTGTTACTCATAGCATTTGTATTTAATAGAAAATTTCAATTAATTTTAATTTCAATTTTTCTTTTTTTTTTTTATTACTATTGTGATCAAACATATAATTGTCAGTTATATTACTATAACTCTAACTTGAAAGTTGTTTCTGTTATTACAGAAATTTGAAGAATTTATTCTGTCTACATTTAATTTTTTTCAATGTCATAACTCAGCACACGACTAATGTTGAAGATTTACTGGGATAGAAATGAAAGAATACAATTTCTTATTAAAAATTGTAGACAATATATTTTATTGTGAATAAAATGTAAAAGAGACAGTTGGTAAACTTAATTGTACATAACTTACCAGTGGCCAAGAGTAGGAGAGTGAACTTCATCATCGTAAGGGATGTATGTAATGTAACGGATCTAAATAAATCACTGACTCAATTTGTATTTTTTCAAGAGAGAATCTTTTCCCTTTGGAAGCAGATGCTGCAATGAACGAAAAAGCTGACGGAGACGCTGTTTTTATGCCAATTTCCGTCCATGAAAATATTGTAATAATTACTCCTCTCCTTCCTCACTAAAGTAACCTTTACTCAATGGCACCTTTGCTTAAAAAGTTTGTGCGATAACTTATGAGAGAGTCGAGAAGATTATTTTTAATTTGGTCAGTTTCCCTATCACTTGTGTGATACATGCACTTTTTTTATTCACATTCATAAGTATAAAAAAAAATTATCATGACAAGACTGAGTCGATTTATCTCAACGGCCAGTGATATGAACAACAAATTTGCCATTTGTTAATAGTTTGTTACCAATGAATTAGAAATAGAATGATTAGAGACTACTCTGAAAATTTGATGCTTACCAAGATTTCGCATATTTCCTTCCCATGAGCTTTTTTAAATTACCTATACATAGTCTTGCATGTCTCTAAAGTCGCGATTGAAACTTGAGTAGTTTTGAACTAAAAATATTTATATTCTCTGATTTTAATACTCTAGTTTCATGCAGTTTTGATGTAATATGTACATACATTTCCGTCCCCTTAAAACTGTAGTTATTCAATTGAATTTTGGCCTGACAATGATAGTGAAATTTTGTACATAAGACAATATACAGTATCATCAATTCTCTTTATCATCGAACTCTAGAGGCAAAAATCTGGTGTATTACGCACAGTAATTTTGAATATTCCCATTTTGTGTAAGAAAGTATAAAGAGAAAATAATAGATATCTCTGTAAAATTTGACTTTTTTGTTTGTTACGTTTTTCTCTAGTAAATAAAAATAGCATTTTAGATATCAAAACCCAAAAAAAGGTAAATAATCAATGTTTTGCTTATTGTAAAGGTATAAAATTGTTAGTTTAAAAGTTCAACAGAATAATAAACATTAAATTGATGCATGTCAGAGAACATAAACTTACCATATTATATAACATAAAAATGCAAACTGTACAGTTAACATTTTTCTCAGTTACACCAGTTTACATTTACTGACATCCAATCGTTTTCACAGACAAAATTGAGCTTTTTCCGTTTTAAACGTCAGTACTTTTTGTTTGTTTTATTTTTAAATAAACATAGACAGTATATTAAGATAGTATCGTCATGATGATATCATGAAAATATATGACGACAGTATCGTCATGATGATGATTCTATTTTGTTCATCTAAACGAAACAACAAAACATCATAGCCTTTTAACGTTCATCGTAGCATTTTTAAAGATTTTTTTCTAATATTGACCAAACAAATAATGAAAGGAGTACATTCAATTAGTTACACATAGTATTTGCAAATTGGTGGTTTTCTGTACTTGAGACATTCTCTAAGAAATGGTGTATTTTCGATGCAAGAGGAAAGACGACTACCCATCGGAAGTTACGTTTTGGGGCATAACGATATTACTGGTGACATGGCTATTCACTCAGTTGACATGTTAAAATATTCTCTAAATCTGATGGAGAAGAGGTCGGTGATTTAACAATTGTTGGTGGATTAAAGAGAAAAGCTATATAATGCTCTCAGATTAATTAAATCGAGTTCTTCGAATGGTACAAAATGTTCCTAATAATATTTTTGCTCGATTACCTGATAGAGATAATCTACGGAAATCTACACTTATACATACCTCCTTTTGGGAATTAATAAAAGAGCAAAGCAAGAATGAGGTCATGCTTACACAACTGAGTCTTGGACAAAAGATTACGAAAGCTCGTCATTGCTTATCAAAAATCGATTTGCGTTCAAAATGATTTATGAGACGTGCCGAAATTTTGTGGGTGAGTCAATAGTAACAATTAGGGAATCCATGAAACGTGGTGCAATCGCTCTTTTTGTTTTTTTACAAAAAAAATTCAATTCAAGGTCTACAGCTGATATGCTGTAAGTTTAATTACCTTAGATCAAGTAACAAACAATGCTTTTGAAATTCTTATTTCTCATATTAATATTCATATAATTTTTATAACTGCTCGTAAATTGTAACCTGCATAAAAGTGATTGCTACAAAACTTATACAAAAAAATTTGTAAATAACTGAATATTTTTTTATTATTTAAGTAAAATTTATGGAGAAACAGTTAATGTAGGATTTAGTTTAACTATGGTTAAAATTACTTGGTTGACTGTAAAAAATAATTCAAGGAAATTATAATATTAATCAGTGGTATTCAATCACCTAAAAATGTTTCTTAATTTTAATTATATTTAATGGCACCCTGAATCACTTGCAATTTTTATATGCTTGGAGATGAAATATAAAAGGGAATTAATTAGAATTTTACCATCTCACCAAAATCTTATGAGTATTATTATCATTTTTGTACATGTATAAAGGGTTTCATGAAAAAATTATATTCGTCTTGAGCAGAAAACCAAATTTAACAATAAATTGTACTTAATATTAAAAAAAAAAACTTGAATCTTTTTTTTTTTAACATTATTGGATACTATTTATAATTTCCGATAATTTGCTTGTAAGGAAATGAAAATTAAGTCTCTAAATAAATTACAGTTTAATAAAAAAAATAAAAAGTCAATCTAACCGCTTTAAATGTCTTTTCTACAAACTGACAAATCGAACAAAAAAGAACATACACTTGACTAGTGACGCATCGACAGTACCACCTTGATTATGAATAGCATAAATATTTGTTTTTACTATCTAGAAAGAAAAAGTACTACGATATTCCAATTTGATTAAAAAATACATTTATTTTGCTTAACTAATGAAGATTATATTCATTACAACATTAATATATTAATTAAGTATCTAAAGTTTGAAGATCCATCTTTTCAAGTATCCAACGGAATTCCTAACACTCGCCATCTTTCACTTTGACCAAATCTGAAACAAAAGTAAGAACATCGCGTAAGATGATAATCTTCCACATAAGCATTATTTACATGTTTCTAAATAAAATGAAAAAAATAATTCCTTACCATCTTTTCTCAAACACCTCTTTGCGCACTCGAACATACCAGCGTTCGAATAGGTAGCCTTGTTGCTCGCGCAAAGCGGCAGGTACTCATCAGTCGACAAGCAGGGACAGTTCTCGGTTATACCGTAGTTGTTAGGAAGCTTGGTATGTTTGTCAGCTGTGACGACATTGAAAAGCACCACTGAAAAATGTAATTCGGTAGGTATAGTATACATGTTCGTGAAGGTGCAGTATATGATATGTTCAAGCTGTGATCATCAGGTGTTGACGTTATTCAATACTCATTTGAATCAAAGTTTGTAATCGTCATAACTTACCAGTGGCCAAGAGTAGGAGAGTGAACTTCATCATCGTGAGGGATGTATGTAATGTAACGGATCTAAATAAATCACTGACTCAATTTATATTTTTTCAAGAGAGAATCTTTTCCCTTTGGAAGCAGATGCTGCAATGAACGAAAAAGCTAACGGAGACGCTGTTTTTATACCAATTTCCGTCCATGAAAATATTGTAATTACTCCTCTCCTTCCTCACTAAAGTAACCTTTATTCAATGGCATATTTACGTAAGCAGTTCCTGTGATAAATTATGAAAATGATCAGAAGTATGTATTCAATTTGATCAGTTTTCTTATCACTCGTACGTGACGAGTTTTTACACGCTTTTTTTTTCTCAATACGGCAGTACAGTACAAGCTGATTTATCAAAACAGCCAATCATACTTAACTAAAAATGTGTTGTTTACGCATATCGTATATCTTCTAAGATTTCTTAACTAACATGGGAAAGCCCATAAGTAGATTTTTCATCACTTTTCTTGTTTGACCTTTTTAAAACCGCTTTCACTATCGCTTCAGATAAAAATGGAGCAAATAAATATTATATCTTTGCGTGTTCCATGACTTTGCTTGCGTTGAAATAATATCTCGGGTCAGCGACTCGTTTCCTCGTTTCTTGTAGATACGATGAGATTGTTAGAATGTACGCTTGAGTCATACTAATTGATTATTTTTTTTCTCATTTGCCTTGGAGTTACCCAGAGATACTAATTTTGATCTTGAAAAAGTCTCTAGATAACTTTGAAAAAAGCAAGTTTTGACGTAGATAAGTGTAATATGTGAGATAAAAAAAAAAGTTTATTCATTGATGCTCTGTCATGTACTCTCTACACATTACGTAGGCATGATTATATTCAGTATTTTTCAGTTTTTTCGATAAAAATTTTTTCTTGTTAGTCTTGATTCTCTTCTCAGGTTTTATCAGATTTCCATAATTTACGTTTGACAAAATCCTCGTGAATTTTACAATCATTATTTTATTTGCTTCGAGCAGGTAGATAATATTTTATGTGACGATTGTAAACAGCTAATAATTTGACTTTTTTATTACCAATTTTTTTTTTGTTAAAAAATCTTTGGTAAAAATTGTAACGATATTGGAAGAATTACATATATTGGTCATTAGTGAAATAAATGGCGTTTACAACTCATTTTTGAAAAAGCGTCTATTTCCGACACTTCATCCTTGTGATGCTCAACCAAATTTAGCAGTGAAAATCATAGTACTAAAACAATGTTAAATTTTCTTACTGCTGTTTTTTTTCTCATTTCCATCATCCTTATTATTATATCATTACTGACATATCATTGAACGATAGTACAACAGCGAGAAGCTCTGGAAAAAAAAACACCCTCCGTCCATACGATCAATGACTCAATACGCAAGCCTCGACCATCCACCTCGAAACATCGAAGCAAAATGTCTGAAACGTATTTTCCTCGCGGAACACGCGTTCCCGGTAAAATTTCACGCTTACCGACTGTTGTCTTCCTCCACCGCCTGTGACCTCAAAATTACAGCTCCACCATCCGACTGGCAACTGCTTGGGGTGACCGAGCACTTTTCGCCCTTGCGAGGGAGAAGAAAAAAAAACGCGCCAACTAAAATTCCGAAAAAAAATGTAGAGGCGCGTATACCTGAGAAAAAACGAAGAGCCCAGCCCTTAGAGTAAACATGACCCTCAAATTAGCCCCTGAGCGCGCGGACACAAGGCAGAATAAATATTATTTCGCGGAACAATCGGCCGAGGGGATTATCGTGTCCACACGAGATGTATCCCTTCGCTCGGAGGATGACACCTTGAAGACGTTCGGAGTATTTTGTCGATTTTGCCATCTCATCCTTGTAACGAGAAAACAATCGCTTTCGAAGGGACTTTGGGATATCCTCGCTCTTTCGAGTACATCAAAATTGACTGGAGGATGAACGGACGAGTGAATGACTTGGATAGTGTATTAAAAAAGCACAAGGAGTCGGGACTTGTGTCTTCTTTTTTTCAATCCGTAAGATCGGTGTTTTTCTTCATTCGATCGCAGAGCTAATGGAGAAACGTGTCGACTTACCCGATCGTGTTCTCGAATGAAGAAATGAACGGTTTTTCTTTTCTCTCAAATTTGGCAGAAATCTGTGGTCCACCTATGTGATCATGTGTCCATAAGTTATTGACCTAAGAGGAAAAATTTGTATTCCATTGGTTCTGGTCCCTCAACCCATGGGATTTCTCAAACGTATCGGACACTCGATTATTTTAGCAACCAAAAAAAAAAAGAAAAAAAAAACAACAACAAACAACAATTGATGTAAAAAAATTGATTCCCCTCTCCTTGTCCCAAAAAATTCGCCCCCTGACTAAAAGCCCAGCGTCCGGTGCGCCGGTCGAGATATTGATTTTGTCTTTCGGCTGCAACGTACACCCGCACTGGCCTCTTTATCTCCCTTTCGCTCTGCTACACGTACGCCGCGCTATACTCAATGTCCTGCCGGCAGGACGAAGGGCTCAAAACGAGACACGGACGCTCTCGAGTTTGCCGCACGCGCGTATATATCATAGCGACTAATGCCGATGCTCTTCTTCTCCAATGGGGTACAAACTGACAAAGGTGTCCGCACAATAAGCGTGTAGTGACGCTGTACATTAAACACTCTCCCTATTTGGCTGGCTGGTCGGGTCATTGTGCCGTGCGAACACGGTGCTATGAGTTGTAAATTATCGCCAAAGGTGTATAGTTTCCGCCAATCCAATCGTTGATGTTGCAAATACCAGTGCATGGGTACAATCTAAATAAAGGTTGGTCTGATCTGAGAAAATGGTCTATTGAAAAACTTTTAATGTACCGTCAAGAAATTTGGTGAGGTAATACTGACGTTTGTTGCCAGAGGTCCGATGTTTTCGTGGATTGTGTAGCCACGTTTACCCATCATTGTTTCTTTCTACAATCAGACTTCCGACGCGATACCATTCCGAACCTGTTTCAAAGTGAAAACGGCCTCTAATGGTGTTGATGTAATCATTAAAAAAAAAAAAAAAAACATGGGAGAAAAAAAGGATCCACGCTCACTGAGCACGTAAAATAGAACTTGAAAATAATAGCACGCGTTTCTCATTCAAAACTTCACAGACTTGCACTAATTCCACGTTTACAGGTTCTCGCGGAGTCGTGTGATGAAGAAAAAAAAAACGGTGAGGGTGAAGTCACGACGGAGGGTAGCTTTCAGCGTCTAATGGTACACCTTCATACAAAAAGCACGAAATTGACGTTTTCTTTACTTTCCCCCCCTTTTTTCCCCTGTCTTTTGATCAGTCAAAGTTGAGCTACCGAAAAACATCAGGCTATACTTCATTTTGAAGAGTCGAAGGGAAAAGGTGTTTTTTAACGGAAAATAATTAAGCGATCTAAATAAATGCATCCAGAAAAAACAAAAAAAAAACACACACACATTCAACACTCTAAAAATAGTCGCGGCCCCCCTAATCTCCCCCGACAGCTTCACCACTTAGCGCTCGTAAGCACCCGCCGGGGAATCGAATTAAAATCGAATCATCCCCGACCCAACTCGCCCCGCGCCACGATATGATTCACTCGCGCATCCACCGACTTTATTGCCTCGCCCGTCTCGTCCCCATTGACTTTTACGACGCCCCGTCGCATTTTCCATTCTCCACAGCACCACAAAGTCACGGTATGAATTACAGGGCCGTCGCTCATGAATATCCCATCGTGCCCCTGCATGGACGCCGAATCGAATTTCAAACGCACGGAAAACGAAACTTGTAAATTAGTTCGCGCTCGGCTGGTACACGGATCTCCGTGTGTGAGCTCGCGATCGTCGATTCCAGAGTTAATTCGGCACCGATGCACCTCCAGCACGTGTGAAACCTATGCCGATGGAGACCCCCGGCTCGATGAATAATCCAAGAGACACCCCAGCGCTCCGCATCAATTATTCAGTGTATGAACGGGCTGACTTTGTTCTCTCCACAACAGGTCACCCCCGTCGTGTATCTTGTTGTTCCTCTTCTTGGGCAGAGTAACACTTTTCAACTATCGATTAGCGCCGGGAAATTCCTTTTTCTCGATGCGCCACTTGTACACGCGGGCACGTGCGTGTGTTATGTGCGCTCGGAGCGTGAGCCAAAAGGGAGGTGGAACAAAGTGGATTGGAATTCGGTGAGGTTTGAAGATATGGGACATCGCTTCCTTTCATGCGGGTCGTGCGTGGGCGTCTGGGGTGTATTGAGTAGGTTCCGGAGGAGCCATTGTGCACGTCGCGTGCTTCGGATGATTTATCGGATTATTTGTCCACTTGCTTCGGGGGTATATACAGTCCAAAGTTAATGGTAGGTTGGGGCTGACGCGGGGGCTTATTGGGCCATTTGCATTGGAATCCGGCTGCGAGAGATGGTCCGTGAAAAGTCGTGCGTTTCATTGTTCTGGCAAGAGGCGGAATTGGACTCTTTTGTGCGTTGGACTGTATGGATGTTGCCGCAGGAGTTGGTAGGAAATTGAAAGTACAATAATCCAAGATCTTTTGAATTATTTTTTATTGCGAGCCGAAAAACAATAATGGCCAATTCCCATCACAATCACCCATACCTTTCTTTATCATATAATCTTTCCCGGACATAGATTGTTATTTTGAGTCGTCCAAAGGTTATTCATTAATTCTAAGCGATTGAAGGAAATGCATGATACTTAAGGACTTTCGACTTCACTAAAGTCAGTAGGAAGCTTCCATACCCAAAAAAATGTAATGGCCATTACGAAATAGCTTATTACATCCGATTGTCGCTCACCATCGCTTATAATTGTCTGTTGTCTATCTGTGATATAAGTGCACAGTCACATTTGTCATACCTCAACCTTTAATATAAGATTAAATATGTAACAGTCTTTGAGATCTAATTGCGATTGAAATATCAAGATCATCATAAAAATAAATACCTTGCGCCTTGCTATCAAAAATTAGAAACTTATTAACTCTACCCGAACTATTTCGAGAAACGACATATTGACCTTTTTTTAGTACTCCATGTTTTGACTTTATGTATAACGAGTAAGTTACTTCACATTAATTTACAGTGATATAATATATGC